CGCGACGGATCCGAGAAACTGGGGAAAATAGTGTGCGGCGACCGGAATTTATGGGCCAACTCTTGCGATGAGATCGTCCAATATGTTACAGTTGAAGGGTGCACCGACAGCACGGAAGGAGCCATAAGTCATTCGATAGCGATCGATGGCGATAGTGAGAAACACGACCAAGAACAAGTGTTCACTTTTTTTCCCGTTCTTCGTCTTCTCTTCTACCTGCAATATCACAGAGAGAAGAAGCAGCACGATTTGTTTCTCAATGTTATTTACGACTTCTTACACACACAGAATGGCAGGGGTGGCATTTTCAAAATTATCTCTACTGCACCGTAGAACAAATGCGGATTCTTTATTTTTTTATTTATATTACTTTGAACACCCTTCTTATTTAGTGTTCTGATAATTATTTTGAACGAATTAATTTTAGACAGAGTCAAAATCAATTTCTATAACGGAACACTGATGAATTTTGACCTTTCCAATATCCACAAAGGAAACTATATGTTCTGAAGATGATCAAAACTGTTGTAATATGTTGTTGGTCACCAACTGTTCGTTACGAGCAATTTAATCGTACCAGGCTAGTACCGGCTGGCGGGCCATTCATCATACATTTCCACCCCCTTACACGACATTACCGCTGACGACCCAGATGAAGAAGAGCGGCCGGATAAAAGCCATCATAAATCTTCGCACCACTCGAAATGGAGCTTGTGTACATTATTACAGGGATAGGGTTCGTTCCTGCTAACAGCGTCCTGCCTTTGATCTGTCAAAATGAACACTGACAGAAGATCCGAACGAAACGCCTCTTGTGTCCGAAATATTGATGACGTTCCGTTACGTGAAGAGGGACGAACCAACGGCCACTTTGATTAAGTAGATTTTACATCTATCTTTATACTGACGAAGAGCTAAATGCTCCAAATCCATACATTAAATGTATATGCATCTAATCCAAGTCTGATAGAAGAGGGGCGATTGTCTAACAAATATTATTAGGAAGGACGATAAGCACAGACATTTAAAAAAAGGACAATCTTAATTGCGTTAACAATTATTATTAATATTATACAGGGTGTAACAGAAATAAGTGTGAAGCTTTGGAGGGTATAACTAGATACCAAAAGGAATCGAATGGTGAGTTCAGTAGCGTGATTAAGGACAAAACTATATTTTTAAGAAAAATACAATTTACAATCCAAAGCCGGTCCTGGGCGTGAATTGGCACGAATAGAGAAAGAAAAAATGTAGGTAACGTAAACGTTCGTAGGTAACTGTCAGTATGACCAAAGCCCTTATAGAAAAGACACTTTACATTTACTTCGGGGTCTTTCCTTTATTGATAGTTCTCAGTTATTGACTGTTTCATATTGGTTGTGATCGAAAAATGTTGTCTACCGATGAGCATAAAATCCGAAAGAGAAAAAATATAAAATATAGAATGTAGAGTCAAAAGAGCTTTTGAATGAATAATAAAGTTTTATTTGATGGAAGTAGAAGATTTAGTTTTATGGGCATGTTTTTTTCAGTTGGTATTTCAACCAGAGATATAGTAGATAATGATGGGGGTGGATGGATATCAGATTGCTCATGCTGGGAAGAGAAATGTTAGTCTTTTAAATTCGTGTGAGAGTTGTAGAAATAAAACTGTCGTCACCTTAGTACGAGCGGATTGCGAGTTTTGGCCGTTTCATCTGGTCTTCTATTATTTCGGGTATGATCTATGCGAGATCGGGTCCTCGATTTCCGTAATGGGATCGACGTGACATGGCAGCAAACGGACGAATCCAACACACTTTTAAATAAACGTACGTCATCCGGGGCAATTCCATTTGCATAAAAAAATGCTAGGCAATAACTTGGGCGTCGTTTTGGATTCGTGGTAGCAGCATAGAGGCCGCGACAGGCATCTAGGACCTTTTGTCGATTTCCAGGCGGACGTGAAATTTATAGGAGGGCGTTCGGCGTCGGCCGGAACACATTCCTCATAAACGTCAACGACATCGGCTTATTTCCGTAGCGGGCCATAAACAGCGAGAATCTGCCATGGCCGAGTAGCCAATATGATGTCATATTTTATTCTGATGCGACGGCCTGGTGATTTACGAGCCTATAAAGCCAGTTCGAGTTTTATGTGCCCTACGATGTAAAAATGCAAAGCGCTGCAAATGTCCCCGCGTTGCCTCGCTCCGCGACGCCGACGAAACCACGTCGCGACGCGCGAATCAATCGTCGTTTTTACGAGATCGACGGATTTACTTTATGACATGGACGGCTAGGTTACAAAACCCATCATCATAAAACGATATTCTAACAAACCACCAGAAGGCATTTCTAGTCGAGTGTATTAGATTTTCTCAAATGATGAGGATACCTTGGATAGAGAAGGTTAGAAATGAAGAGGTGTTAGAAAGAATAGGAGAACAGAGGACTCTATGGTAGTCAATAAGAAATGGTCGACATAGGTTGGTTGGACATCTCAGGCATGAAAGTCAAGTCAGAGACACATTAGAGGCAGGAACGGTAGTTAGAAGGGATAGAGGTAGGCTTAGATTAGATTACTGTTCGCAAATAGTTAAGGATGTGGGCTGTTCTGGTTTTAGGGAAATGCGAATATTAGCTCAGGATAGTGGCTAGGAAAGAGTGGAGGTGTGTGTCCAATCAGTCTTATTAGCACTGACGACCTTATGATTATGATGATGATAATATGTTTTCTTTGCCTTGCAGGCTTGCAGGACATGGTGGTTGAGCGGTGAATAAGAGGAAATAGTTCTGACTTTCTGTGAAAGAAAAAAAGAAAATCAAATCACACTCCACAATCTCTAACATCTTCTGATCTTGTTGATGTTTCACTTTCACACATCCAGGTTTCAACAGTACCTTTGGTATTGGGCAATTCTGGTTCTCAAGTACTTAATTGTTCCTGAACAACAACAGTTCTTCTAGAAACTGAAGAGTGGTCGGCTGACTTTGCAGAATACCTCAGGTAGTCTACCCGCACTCAGCACTCTTACCATTACAACCTTTGGTGTTTGACGATTTGATTCTTTGTATTTTGCCTTACTTACAATCCTGCAATTCCTCCAACTTACGATTAAAACGGTCTGAATTTATCGACTTTAATTGGCGATATTTTCCTTTACATCCCAGAAAATAAACAAGTTCCTATTTTATTTCCCAAAACCACTTGGGATAGTATTCAGGAGAGAGTCTTAACACAAACTCAATGTCAAAGTTAAATCTTTGAAAACATGCCACTTTATAATGTTGCTTATTTGAAAGTCAAAGTGAAATCAATAACGAAATGGGCTCGTTGGAATGGTGGTGTAAGCAGAAGCTGGCAGGTTGGTATTTCTAAATCTCCTTCTCGCTACCATGGAGGTGTGCCGCCACAGTAAACACCATTGCCGTTGTCCCAAGTGTTGGCGAACGAGCAATAAACCCGTTCCCAGTACCAGACAGTCACACGTGTAATTAACGCTTTCTTTCGCGTTTAACTCGGCTGATTAACAAGCCGATTACGGCGGTGTTTGCGAGAGCAAGAAGTGGAAGATACGAAGCGCTAATGAGACTGGAGTTGGCACTGCTGCAGCTGCCGGTGCGCTGTTGTTAATGCAGCCGCTTCCCGCCTGCTCTGTTGCTCGCACGTTCGTGCCTACCACATCTAGATGGCCGTGGAAAACCACCATATCCTCGCTCGTGACGTAACACTTGTACCAACTTGCAACTACGTAAAAAGTTAATTCCAGCCTAGTTAGCACATGAGAAAGTATTTAACGCGAATGGATTGCCACCTCTCTGATATCCATCAAAGAGATCTTGAACCATCCCCAATTAAAAAGAAAAAAAAAAGTTTTTTACAATTTCCGTTTAATTCGGATATTGCAAAGTTGGTCATAACTCAAGATTACGGTTCATGTCATTCTAAATTACCTCTACGTCCTGGGTTTTCTTCAAATGAAATTATTACGAACATACTTTTATACATATATATATAAAGGCATAGCATTTAATTCCTTTATGGCATAATTTCTTAAAAGAACGCACATTAAGTTTTCAGTTCCCGAAAGGAAACAAATAAACTACAAACGTGACGGTGAACCGCATTTATCTCTCTAATCGAAGCTGCTTCCTTTACACGCAGAAGAAAAGTTTCAAAAGGTCCATTCCGACCATGCGATAACTACCGCGATAAAACTAATTCTTATCTTTGTTGAGGCATGTCACAACAAAAGAATATAAATTGCCCGTTAAAATTTTGTTGCGGCGGTTTTTTGTTGGATAAATGAATGGTTAAAAAGTGGGCCTAAACAACTGGACAGGACACAACTGCAGTCACATATTAGGATTTCCCTAATAATCATCATCATAAATCTTACAGATATTCTTAACTTCTTTTTTAATTTGGATAGCTTTGCATTTAAAATTACTAAAAAGTACTTTTTAAATTTGATTCTGAGAATTCTTATGCCATTTTCATGAAACAGTTTTCAAAATATCATCAACAAAATCGATAAATACCAGCCACGACGATTTTCAAAATTAAATATTAATCTCTGCTGTAGGTACAGTTTAACTGAAAAGCTGCAGTTGTCTTTTAAAATGAATTTAATGATTTTAATGGTGGCTGTAGTTGAGCTTTGTATGATGAATCGACCAAGTGTTAAAAGTGCGGCGTGAAATAGCGACAAAGAGCAGCGAACAAGGGTGGCGGTTGCAAGATTCAAAGGGGATGTGTGCAGAATCTTAACGTAAAATGTTTTGTTGGGGGATTTACGGGGCACGGTTCAATAACAGCGTTCTCTTGTCATGTAAAATTTAACGAGTAGATGCGGTGAGGTAAAAAATTAAACCGAAGCTCAAAGCTGTTGCTTAAGTAGGGATTTGTGTTCAGAAAGAGATTCTACAAGGTATTATTAAATATTCAGCGCCAATTAAGTGGGCTCTAAAGGAGAGCAAAGGGACATGATGTGCAGTAAAATGAGAGAATGACTTACCAGCGGCCTAGCTATGTATATCCCATCCATCACTTACAACTGGTCCATGAATTGAATCTGAAAATGAAGAAATAAAGGGTCATGCCTAGAGAATATGAAACTTGATAGATGGTCCATCATAAATGTTTGAATTTCCTAAAGAATATGTAATAAAAACAGATTGGTACGATAAGAGATTTATTTCAAATTAAAGATAATACAGTGGTACCTCGAGATACGAGTGCCCTAACATACGAGTTATTTGAGATACGAGCTGTCGAGCGAGCGAATTTTTGTTTTGAAATGCGAGCGATATTTGAGATGCGAAGTTTTTGACCCTCCTGTTAAGAAATATCTACAGGAAAACAACCCACCCATGCAAGCCCTTCTCGTCTTCGACAGTGCTCCTATTTACCCACCGAACCTCGAAGATGACATCCTCGAAGAGTTCAAGTTTATAAAGGTTCTCCATCTACCATCTAACACCACTCCTATCCTGCGGCCCATGGATCAGCAGGTGATTTCTAATTTTAAAAAGCTGTAGACTAAGCTCTGGCGCTGTTTTGAGGTGGCAGAGAACACAAACCTCACCCTCGAGAGTATTGGAAGGACCACTTTAACGTCGTGATATGCCTCAGAATTATTGATCAGGCCTGGCCGAGTTTTACAACGAGGACCTCGATCTCTGCATGGAAGAAGCTGCGGTCCGAGTCTATAGCCAAAAAGACTTTCGAAGGATTAGAACCAGAAGTGCTAGTGGAGTGTCTTCGGGAAATCCATGGGCCTAGTAATGGATGAGAGAGACGTGAACTGGATCGTCGAGGAGCACTCACAGGAACTGACGATCGAGGAATTACAACAGTTACAGTCGCAGCAGCATTCGGGGTTTCTACAAGAAATTGGTTTCGAGGAAGAGCCAGAGTTGGAGGAGTTACAAGTGAGATAAAAGAGCTCTTGGGAATGTGTCTTATTCAAAAACACGTACCAGAAATAATTGGAGGTAGCATTTTTGGATCTGGAACGGATTAATGGTATTTCAATTCATTTCAATGTGGAAAATTGCTTTAAGATACGAGCAAATTAACATAGGAGCAAGGTTACTTCGAGATATCACTGTAATAGAAAAAATCTACCCCCTTTTGATTAAAATTAGATGTGGCTATATAACAGATGTTAGTGAAGAAGTATTAACTAATCCTAAGAAGTGTAATAGTAGACCTGCGTTTAAGATTGGACTAGCTTCTTGCTAGTGCTAAGCAGCATAAATCACTGACAATGTCGGCGATGCTAACGGCGACGTTCCTACCGACGCCTCGACACGATTAATGGCAGAACAAATGTGAAAAGCACCTCTGACTCCGAGGGCGGCCTCAACGATCCACTTTTGCACCAACGATCGTCCGACGTCGCCGCCCCGACGCCACACCGTAGTCCGTCGACGAAGACGACGTTAGGAAACGAAGAGTAATTGATGACCCGGACGGAAATTGGAAAAGGAAGATATCCCGTGTGAAGTGTTTGTAGAAATCGCGTCGGTTTTCTTGTTTGTCTCCGCAGATTTGACGGCTTTACCGTCCGAAACTAACGACTCCTTCTTTTCATCTGCCAACGGCTTCTGTTGCCTTTCCTTTATTTGTTGCTTTGATCGATTGCAGAATGACGGATGGTAGAGACGGTACCATGCTGGGGAAGTCGAAAGGTGAAAAATCGACGATAAATCCTATTTTAAACCACCCTCAATTTCATAATTAAAAAAATATTCTAGTATAGTGGAGGTGCTAGCCCAACCAGTCTTAAGACTGACGACTTTATGATGATGATAAAAAATGATGCATTCCAGTCGCTTTAAAGATCATGAATTAGTACCTAACAGTAGAATTTGCTGTTCGAATAATCACTAAATTACACAAACCTTATTCATTATGCAAATTATATTCATGCTTTATCTTTTAACACTTTTCGGAAGTAACTGGATAGATCTTCGGTATGAGTTTTCATATCTTCAACCAATCAAAAATAGAAATAGAAAAGTAAATCAACTGAAGTAAACAACAGTGGAAAATCATCTTAAAGAATATTTGGTTTTACTAATCTTACTGATTAAAGGGTTATTCAAAAGTGGTTCGATTCAAATATGTTTTCGGAATTTCGACCTATCTAGAGACAGAAAATCTATAATGCTCGAAGTTCATACCATACTTCTTAAGGCAAGCTAATGTCAAAGATTGAATAAAGTAGTTCTTCATTTTAGGGTTGCCAATCTACTTTGAAATTGGTGAAGGAGTATTATACCTAACAAGTTTCGATTAAAAATGATATTTGGGGTTTAGCTTTCTCTCTGACAGTACACTAGAACATGGAATCTTGAGCTGGTCTATGAATATTATTTTGTTACTTTCTACATTTTCATTTCAGAAACATTTTTTGAATCAAACTCAGTTGCCTTACTTATATTACCAGATACGGTTAGTTTTTTTGCAAATTGCAAAAGTCAGACCTGTAATGTGGTCATTAGATCCAAAAGGACTTTGTTGTTGCAGCCATTCCATCTGGTAACGTACTCAATGTCTAGCTACGAGGCAAAAGATTGAGAATTGGCATGTTTATGGACCAATTACAGAAATGAGCCGGTTTAATCGTTGTCGTCCCGGAATGATCGGTGGCTTCATTATTTCCACCAATCACGTTTTTGTAAAATACTACATGTAGCGCACAATTAAAAGTACAATTTATACTACCGGTCTAGTTTGCCAGTTTTATCGCTGTACGTTTGAGCGCACAACATCCAGATATGTGTACGTATGTGTACGTGTGTATTTATTCGAATGTGTATCACGTGTCTTGTGTGTACCATGCAACGTTGCAGCGGTTCTATCGCCTGTGCTATCGGCTACTTTTAATTGAAAATGTTCGTTAGTTCGTGCTCGACAGCCATTTGTCATATACGTATAAGCACTGAGCTATAAACATGAAAGCATGAAATTGGTGCGATTCAGAAAAATGCGTAAAATAATATCAAACTCATCATCGTCATCATCATGAGGTCGTCAGTCCTAAGACTGGTTGGACACGCACTTCCACTTTCCCTATCCTGCGCTAATCTTCGCATTTCCCTAAAGCTAGACCCCTTTTCTTTAAAAAACTTTTTGGGGGTTTCATTCCCACCAGCCAGTAATGCTGGTGGGCGGGCAGTACCTCCGGATTACGCCGGAAGGTAGGGCGGAACGCCCTCTTCAGCCTGCTTTCAGGAGTCGTGGGAATGGGTGGGTGGGTGGTGGTTCGGGTGAGAAAGTTGAGACAGACGAAATGAAGACAGAAGAGAATGAAAGATTATCTATGGAATATTACTGCCCCAGCATTTGCCTAAGTGATCCAAGGAAACCACAGAAAAACTTGGACCAAGGTAGACGGACCCGGAATCGAACCGGCATCCTCCCGAATGCTAAGCAGTGGTCTAAACCTCTAGGCCATGCCGCTCAGTCTAAAGCTAGAGCAACCCATATCCTTAACTATTTGCGAACACTAATCTAATCTAGGTCTACCTCTACCCCTCCTAACCTCCGTTTCTGCCACCAATATGTCTCTGACTAGACCTTCATGCCTGAGAAGGTGTCCTACTAACCTATCTCGCTTATTCCTCACTGACTTCCAAAGAGTCCTCTGTTCTCTTACTCTTTCTAATACCTCTTCATTTCTAACCTTCTTCTATCAGTCGCCGATTTTCGTTGTCTAGGATGTCAGATAATCCAGGATAGAAAAAGCGGTAGAGACTTTGGTCGATTCGCTTCGAACAAAATAAAATCATTTCTTAACGGCCAATTTGGATATTCCAAAAAGGTTATTAACGGTGCGTTCCAAAGCCGGCTCTGTATGAGTGAGAAATATGAACGATGATAGATGAGTGACGGAAATTCCGAGGATAGAAAGTATTAGAATCGTGGAAGCAATGAGAAAGAGTACAAGTAGGCACTGTGGGAGACAGTATAAGGAAAAAAAGAGGATAATATTGCAGGATACCTGAGGCATGATGACATATTACGAAACAGGTAGTATTACAGAAATAATGGGTGACAAAGGAAGACACAAGACCAGGGGAAGTCGCCGATTTTCAAAGTCTAGGAAGTCAGATAATTCAAGATAGAAAAAGCGGTAGATACTTAACGGTGCGTTCCAAAGCACGGCTGTGTATGAGTGAGAAATATGAAGGATGATAGATGAGTTATGAAAGGATTCGTGAGGCATGATCACATCTTACAAAACACGTGGTATTACAAAAACAACGGGCAACAAAGGAAGACCTAGACTGAATTATTGTTTGCTAATAGTTTAGGACGTGGGTGCTCGAAAAAAGCGAAGACTGGCTCAGTATGGGAAGGAGTTAAAGAAAAGTAAAGTAGGGTAGCACCTCCAGACACGTGGAAATACAATCCTAAGATTAATTGCAAATGACACAAAAAGAATTAAATGTTCTTAATGCAACACCCAAAAGTTTTTTTTTTGACAAACCAATATTGAGTTTAGAACTCATTTTTCTGCTACTGCGATCGTATAATGTTTTGCCATGGTTATGAAATATTTATTTGTGTGTACCTATAACGTATTCGTCACTGGAAAAAAAGGCATTAGGTACTTAAAAGAGTGGATTTTAATGTGAACGAATAGTGCTACCCAATAGAACGGCGACAATTAAAGCACAGAACTATTAAAACTGATTTTATTAAAATTACGTTTTGTTTGCTTCCGCCATAAAACAAACAAGCAGCGAAAGCCGTTAAATGAAAATTTAATTGGAATTAACAACCTCGTTGCTCTTTTGATTGTTATAAATGTGAGCGGATGGAAATGTTTTTCACAAATAACTGCTCCCGACGGCGAAATTGTTATATTTGCAACGATAAACTCGTTTGCTTGGCAATTTACTGAATGGATGGAAAGCGTTAGTGGTAAAATTTAGGACTGCATTTCCGGCTTTTTACAATATTTTACAGGTCGCTGTGTCAATTTTCATTGTAACCCATAAAATATTTACAGTTGTCCAAACGTATTTTACAATTCGACAACACATTACTAATATTTAT